GAATGCTTGTTGGCACCAGGCACGCAGCTCAAGGTGGTCAAGCGCACCCGCAAAGGCAACATCGCCGAGATTGAAGTTGAAGAAGTTGGCAGGGCAATCTGAGGTGGATACTGCCACTTCAACTACCACCTAACTACGATAAAGATGCCTACAGTGTCGTTTCGTGATACTAGATCTGGAAAGTTGAAAATAGTGTTATGGGTTCTGAACCCAGGAAGATACGTTGTAAAAATTACCAGCACTGTCAACTGAGTACCATCACTCCTAATTTGAGCCTCGACTGCGCGAATGTTGATCTTTGTCAATTTGCAGAAAACCATGGCGATACACAATCCAATTTGAAATTTGCTCCACCATGACACTTCAAGACCAAGTGGTTTCCTTCATCGGCAAACTCAGTGGCTTCTCCCGGGCAGAAGCCATTGCCCAAGCTCGAGATGCAGGAGCCTCCGTGACGTCCACAGTCACCAAGCGCACCACAATCCTCGTAGCCGCCGACGAGCACACCAAAGCACCAAACGGCGTCGAAGTGTGGAGCGAGGCGACGTTTGTGGCCCAATTGGGCCAAGCCAAAGGCGACCCAGAAGTGGAACCTCCAGCTGCAATGTCAACTTCAAAGCCAAAACGAGGCAAAAAGGGAGCTAAAGTGAAGGATGATGCAATCAAGGATGAAGGTGTTACCAAGGCTTCCCCAAAGGGAAAAGCGAAAGACGACGTCGTTACGCCCGTCAAGAGTAAAAAACGAGCGAAAAAGGGCGACCCCATGGCCCCTCCATCCCCCAAGAAGCCCAAAACCGAGGAGGTCAAGGCCGAACGCGTCGGTGCGCGGAAACCCGATCGGCACTTGTCCAGCCGCGAACAGTTTGCCATCGTGGACGACTACCTGACCGACCTCATGCAATCCAACTTGGGTGCGAACAACAACAAGTTTTACATCATCCAGCTGCTGCAATCGCTGAGCGATCAAACATACTACGTGTTTACGCGATGGGGGCGGCTGGGTGAGGCTGGCCAGCAAAAACTGGCACCGTGTGGTCACGACTTGGATAAAGCCATCAAGCAATTCGAGACTAAATTTGCAGACAAGACGCGAAACCAATGGGGTGATCGGCGTGAATTCGTCAAGCACGCCAACAAGTACCAATTGGTGGAGCTGGACACGAGTGAAACGGGTGACGGGGGCGCGGGGGACGCTGCCATGGGCAAGTTGTCGGCATCTCAAATTCAAAAAGGCCAAGTGGTGCTCGAGTCCCTCAAAGCAGCAATCACCTCGCGAACGTCCGCACGAGCCATCGAGCAGCTCTCTGGCGAGTATTATTCGCTCATCCCGACGTTAGCCGGTCGAAATCGCCCGCCCCCACTCAGCACCAAGTCGATGGTGGAGGAGAAGGAAGCACTGTTGGACTTCTGGCTCCGCATGGGTTTTGACGACATGGAAGAGCAAACTGGACTGGCGCCCATTGAAGGCATCATGGACTTGCCGTTGCCGTCGACGCTTTTAGCGGCGTC